GGGACCGGCGGGGGGTGTGTGTCTTGGGCAAGGTCGGCTGAGACCCCGTGAAATTTGTTTTTTATTACGCTATAGAAGAGTAACGAGCGCCGCAGACGGGTCCCGCTGGTAGCTAACACGGGGTGGAAAATCCAGCAAGCAGCAGCGTGTAACCGTGCGTGTCTCCGGGCCTGTCAGAAACACTGTCCCGTTATAGCGCGATTTCATCCCGAGAGGGTGCCTGCCCTTCCCTCGCGGCTCTTGTCAGGGCTTGGAAGGGTTTTGTCAGTTGTAGTGACAGGGGAGCACGAGAAACATAAGGTTCATCTGATAAGTAGGAAAAAAAATGGTGCTTTTTTTTTTTTTTCTCCTGGAAATGTTAGGAGATGACAAAGTTCCAAAAATGTTGCGAAGATCCCTCGCCCAGCTGTCGCTGAGCAGCATGAAGTCTGCAAACATATGTATAGGTCGTCCAGTGTTGCTTACCTCTGCTGATGGGCGACAGGAGGTGAGACTCTCTTGTTCCTACATGTGCTTTTCTTGGGCTTTCAGTGTATTCTTGTCATATTGAATAGGGACCAAACTGGGGCATGCATGGGAAGATAACGAATGTACTTTTTCATGTTTTCTACAGTGTAGTTACATTTTTAATTCTCGGTACTGGAAAAAATCTGCAAGATTTTCAAGAAATTTGTAAGCCTTGTGTGTCAATATATGTATTTTATATGTGCACACGTGTTTTATTTGCAAATAAAGAGTACAGCCCTTTACTCTTCTTTCTTCATTGACTTGCAGCCTTTCCTAGTCTGCACAGTGTATGCTTTTGTGTCATCTGCAGAACGTGTATAGTCCTGGTGGAAATTTTGTCTCCTTTGTAGGCAAAATATAACTCTCTACTTCTTGGAAAGCATCTTGGATATCTTAAGAACATAGCGCTACCTGTATCTTACTGTGTGGCACCAGGTTTTAACCTAATTCTTCTTCCTTCTCAGCCCATGTTTTTTGAAACATTGTAAAGTAATTGCTTACTTTAACTGGAGGACTAGAAGTCGGGAGGCGGGGCGGGGGGGTTGTTTGCGGTGCGGAATCTGGACTGACAGTTGTTTTCTTTGAACTTTTCCTAGGTCTGTACAGCTTGGCCTACCACAGGCTTTCCAGGCGGGAAAGTTGGGCTGAGTGAAACCACACAGAAGAACCTGAAAGTAAATCCAGGTGATGCCATCACTGTGCAGCCTGTGACTGGTGCTGTCATCCAGGCAGAGGAAGTCAACGTAAAGTTGGGGTATGCAACTTGTTATAACCTAGTGACGTGCTGTCAGGTGTCTGCTTTGCCCTGCAGACTCTTACCTCTTAGAAGATGCTATTTTTCTCTCTTGCTTTGATGAAACTAGTATCTACACAAAATCAAATGTGCAGATATTTGTAGGATTAGCACTAAGGTTTGGTAACTGGTGCCTAACTCCTTCTGACTGCTACCTCTGTGAGCGGTGGAGCAGCCCAGCTATTGTACAAAATCTCAACTGTGGAGTGGTACTGGAGTGGAGCACATAATGACACTAAGCTCATTAGCCTTAAGAGATTCTTTGCTTTACATTAAATTAATGAATAATAATGCTAGCCCAGTACATCCTGAAGCAGAGGTCAAGCTGCCTGCGTTACATTTGCATTAGATAGGGTGTATAACTGCACAATCAGGGCAGATTTTTTAAACTTGTAAGTCACTTGTAAAGGATGAGGATGATCTCCGAGTGTAGAGTTAACGTCAGGTCAGAAGGAGCCTGCGTTGCTGCTGTTATTAGGAAATATACTGCAAACTGCTATCTGAGAAGCTTTTGTTCAAAAGTCCTGTTGTGGTTAAGAGAACTACTGGCTGACAGGTTGGGGAGAGTAATTTTTTATAACCACTTCCCTTCAAAACTTCACCCTTATATATGCTTGGTTTTGTGCTCCAGTTTTATTTACTGGAATATTTTTTTAGGATTGGAAACTCTGAGGTATGTTTTTGTTTTTTACTTGATATTCACCAAAAAAAGGGAGTAAAAGGTGCAAATCACAGTTATCTTGAAATCATGAAAGCTTTGAGAAATTAGCAGTTTACTGATCTGTTGAATGACTTCCTGTATCTGTCATAACATTCCACAGAGTCAGCGTTTGGACTGATAAAGAATCTGATTATAGTTATTTCCTAAATAAAGTTATTTTACAGTGTACTTTTGAAAGTGTCCCAATACTTTAATTCCCAGTTAAACCTCTGTTTTCAAGCATGGTATTGTCATTGTCCATTTGAAGGGGTAGATGCTGTTTTCCAGCATACTGACTCTCAGAAATGTTGGTGAGGCAACCTTGCTTTTTGTCAGTAATATAACCAGTTTAGCTTTAATTACAGTTTCACTGGTTAACTTGGCTGCACATTGTATGTTGACTTCTGGTGTCACCTTGCTTTGCCATCCAGACCTCTCTTCTCACCAGAAAATGAAAAAAAAGAAAAGTCTTTACAGCATTTTTGTTATGGCTAATTTAATCCTATAGGAAGTTTTATTATTACGTACTGTTTGGTTATAGAGGTTTTTGAAAACACTTATCCAACCCCATATGAAATAAATAATTAAACCCGATCTATTTATATTTCCCCATGTTAATATGCAATTCATTATTTCATGTTAATATGCAATTAATTCATTATTTCTTTAAAGCTATGACTTTTTCTGAAATACAAGCTAAGGATGAGGTCAGAGGAGTCACATGTAACTTTTGAAATATGATTACAGTAATTTTTTTTGGAAACTGTTTCACAGTCAGAGATTTCCCCCTCAGCCAAGCAGGAGTCAGGCTCCAAGGACTGTTACACATGTGTGCCACCAGATTAAGAGTCATATAAATTACTGTTTTTCTAGGATTACTCTAGGAGAGAAAAAATGAAAACTGTAATTAGTCTGTTTTAAGCCTGTAAATGTACTACGAACCATAGTGCCATCCTATCATGTAAGAATATAAATTTTTAATGTGATTCCCAGTTATTTTTTGAGTACTGCCTAGATTTCTAGGCACTTTACAGATGTCGTTCATTCTCTGCAAATTAATGTCTGGGGGGGG